CTCTCTCTCTCTCTCTCTCTCTCTCTCCCCGTGCACCCTCCCACCTACCACATGCCGGCCTTCTGTGTCTGCACGAATGTCCTTCTCTCTCTCTAATCCTTGCCACGTTCTCATGCAATCGCCTCTTCCTATTCCTGCGCATGTATATTATATATATAGACATTATCTACACTAAGTCCTGTATATCGATCTCTTATGTCTTCCGGTGCGCAGCAGCCAACCAACCCCCATCGCGATGACCCGTTCATGGAGACTTACAGTGCGTCTGCTCATCACGTCCGTCAGATCGATCAACGATCAACCTCCCTCTTTGCAAAATTCGAGTCACTGTCTCTCATCTTGAGACGCTCAGCTTGATCGATTGATCCATCGACTGATCGATAGATTCATCGATTGATCGACCGATTGATTGATTAATTGGCTCATTAATTGATCGATTGATTCCTCAATTAAATCCGATTTATTGATCGAAGTCAACTCTTTGAGCCTTCTAAGTTTAATATTCACTCGCCAATTCATCATGACTGATCAATCGACCGTTCCGATTGATTGATCGATTATATGGCCGATTGATTGATTGACCCGTTGATTGATTGACCGATTGATTGATTGACCGGTTGATTGATTGACCGATTGATTGATTGATTGATTAACCGATTGATTGATTCATTAATCTACCGATTAATTGATTGACTTATTAATTAATCTACCGATTGATTGATTGACTGATTGACTCATTGAAAGATTGATTGATTGATCGATCGATCGACCGGTTGATTGATTGATTGACCGACTAAGTGCTTAATCAACTGATTGATTGATCGATTGATTGGTTGCCTCATCACTCCTATCATAGTTTACAACCTTGTTCAAATTCACTTCCCTTCACACTCTCTCCTCCTCCTCCTCCTCCTCCTCCTCCTCCTCCTCGTCACTGTCACTTCGACCTCTCCTCCTCGTCCTGCTCCTTATTACTTCAAACTGTCCTGGTCCTCCTCCTCCTCCTCTCCCTCCTCCTTTCCTTCCTCCTCCTGTCCCTTCGTGCACCCCTGCTGTTGCATACGCTGCGAATGTTGTGATTATACCCGCAGGAGGCGATATTCTTCGCCGAGATCTGCAGATGTTTTCGCGCCGCTTGCAAGCGCTCCACTCCCTCTTTTGTTATCTGTGTGCAATTATCAAGGCACAACAACCTCAGCTGCGCCAAATACTTGGGATTCTGTTCCAATATCTCCAAGCTGTAGTCGGAGACTATTCCCCCTGCCATTCCTAATCTTTCCAGGTTCGGCAACCCCTCCATTATCACCCGCATGTCTGCATCTGATACCCCCATGATTACACCATCAAGCAGCAAGGAGACCAGATTCGGGCAATCTTCTACCACAGCCTGGACCAGGTCTCTTCTCCTATACACGATCTTCCTCCTTCTTCCTACCTCTCTTCCATGTCCTCCTCCTCCTCCGCCGCCGCCGCCGCCGGCGCCGTCGCCGACTTCTCCTACTCCGTCCACGTGGCCCACTTCGCCGGCGACTTGGCCGACTTCATCGCCGACTTCGCCGACATCTTCGAGGTGCTCATGCCAGTCGAAATCACGAAAGGCTATGGTGTTCCGTAGGTCGAGAGATCGAAGCCGAGGCAAGCCGGAGAGAGAGAGGGTGTCAGGACAGAGGAATGTGCGAGCAAAGCGAAGCTCCTCTAGAAGAGGGCAGCCGCCAAGTGTAATGCTATCTAAGAATGTCAGGTCGCAATCAGTCATGGACAGTTTCCGCAGGCGACCTTTGCTGCGTTGGATGACGGCTTGCAGGAGCGGAGCAAGGCACTTGGACGACGAGTCGCGATCCAATCTTGCCGCCGCCGTCGCCGTGGGGATCTCATCGTCGTAATCAAGGATCGCTTCCGTCCAGCACCCCGGGTCGAGACTCGCTGCGCGCCAATTCTTGCACACCGCCCCCGCGCGGAATCTGTCCTTGACGGGGAGGAAGGAAAAAATGCGCACAAGTCCCTCGTGTATGAATCCCGACCAGTCTGGTCGGGATTCCTCGTCGTTGAACATCATGGTACTGCTGACGTCATCATCGTACCGACGACGACGAGAGCGACGGAGATCCGGTTGGACGTAACAACAAGAACAAGATTCACGCTGCGACACGTGGCAGCGTTTGGTTGATGACGGAACATGTGCCTTCGATACCACCGCCTTTCGTTCTTGAGAGGGATTTGATTGTCCGTCGTCCTCCCCCGCCTCCGTAGCCACTTTCTTCATCGCCGCCGCCATAGCCATGATCGGCGGTGGAGGAGGAGGAGGAGGAAGAAGCCTCCTTCTCTTTGCGGGCGCGCCCGCAAGCACCTCTTCGTCTACCATGTTCCTAGAACGCTTCCGCTGCACTGATTGCTGCGCCATGATGACTCGCCACGTGGCACGCGTCTCGCGGTGGCTGCTGTCTGTGTGACCGCCTTCTCTGGTTGGTTATCCGTACTCGGTGATCGATTGCTCCGCCGACAAACCGCTCCGCCGCGGTCGGTGCCGTTCGCTTGATTGATAGTCGGCCGAGGACACGTGGCACACGCGTCTCTACTCTCGGCTACCTCTGTGTCCTTCTCTCGTTCCCCGCGCTCGGTGCTGTTTGATTGATTTATTGATGGGTGGACCGACCGACAACCACCTGGCACGCGTTTAGGGCATACGATTGGCGTCTTGTTTCCCCCCTCCGCGTGTCCTCTGCCTGGTCTCCGATTACTCCTTAACCCCTCGATGAACGCCACGTGGCACGCTCGAAGCACGCCGCACGCTTCTCGGGTGGCTGTCTCGTTCTGCTCTCCCCCCCTTCCGCGTTCTGTGCTCGTGTAATCAATTGATTGATTGGCCGGTCGACGACACAAGGCACACAGCTCGGCGACCTACACGTACGACATATCCCAGGCACCTCTCTCGCTCTACTATTGTGTCATCAACGTTCCGTGCTATTCGATTGATTGGTCAACCACGCATTCCGCACGGCACGAAGACCGCACGTGTTAGGTAGGTAGATGGCTCGTCAACTGTAATGCAACACCTGACTGTCTAAATATGCATAGGCCTCGCGCACCAAGGACAAAAATTAATGGCGGCATATCTTTGCCTTGCCTTTTCTTGGGGCACGTTCGTTCTCGTTGGGCCCCCACCGACGGGCCCAACCCTGCACCTTTCGAGCCCCGATCTTCAGTGATCCCTGAGTCAGGCCTGGACCCCACAGGAATTCCACTGGAAAAGACGTCTGCCCAAAAAATAGGGTGGAAGAATTTTGGAAAGTCCGGAAAGAGTTCCGTGGGTACCCCACCGCGGAGTGAGTTTTGCGGCAAAATGGCTTCAAAATGATCACTAAGGCCCGGACCCCATAGGAATGCGGAGAGGAAAAACTTTGCCGCGGAAGTGTTTGCAGGATCCCACAAAGACCGAAACGTCTTCCAAAACCATATTGTCTACCGGTGGGCGCAGGGAACCCAGCCCTAAGGTAGCCAAATCAATGAGACTAAGAGCTAGCACAAGAGAGAGAGAGAGAGAGAGAGAGAGAGAGAGAGGGAGGGAGGGAGAGGGTGAGAGAGAGTTTTTCCATTTATTGTCACGAG